ATATTTCCACATACTTTATATCAATTTTAAGTCAAGTTTTCCCTTTTGCATTTACTAAAAATTGTTGTTGTAGTTTTTTAATTACTTCATATTTAATTCCATTATTAATTTTAAGTACTATTTGCTCTCATTGGTCATTTTTTGTCTGGGGTATCAAAATTCCCAGAGACGGCCCTGGGTTAAGATTGGAGAGTGGTGGAGTGGCTAAACATCCTAGGGTGGTGTGTGTGAGTTGTTTTGGTTGGAGACCTGAGCTGAAATACACTCTCGACACGACATTTATCATATAGGAGAGTACTGTATTAGAATCCTCCATTGTTTTTATTGGAATCAAGAGACAAATGCCTCTTTGAATTTGGGGTGATAGTCGCAATATATCAACACAAAGAACATGTGGGCTGTCGAGAGAAACAGGAATGCTTATATTTTAACCAGTGTTCCAATCTTTATTTAAATCTAGGACCTATAATTCAAATTTTAAAAGGTAAAATATAAATATATTTATAGATGCAAAAGAGGAAATCAAATAGTGCTCAAAAATCATATTTTGAAATGTAAAAACCATAAACTTACAATAGAGGAAGTCATATCTGACTTACGGATGAAATTCCCGAGATCATCAAGATAAAGATTCTAAAGATTAACCAGTTCAGTAGAAGATTCCAAATGAATAGATTAATGCAAAAAAATTAAACCAAGGAAGGAAAGGATAAATGTCTGAAAGGGATCCACACAAACAAATTTCACTTGTTAACATTTTGTTTTAAAAGTTCTTAGCCGAAAAAGAAAATTAAAAATTTAACAAAAACTAACTTTTATCACTTCTTTCAAATTTCAATATTTGTATAGTAAAATCGTAGCCCAAGAAGATATAAAAATTCAAAAAAGAAAAAGTTGAGTATTTTAGCTCCTTGGGTCACTGTTGTCTTACTGGAAATGAAAAAAGTATCAATACTTTTTAGGGAAATTTGTTGATTCAGTCCCGTAACTTATAGCTATACCCGATATTGGTCCTTTAACTTTATTAACTTGCAATTTACATCCCGTAACTAATAAGTTGGTGCAATTTTGGTCCTTCTTTACCGGAACTTACCAATTTCATCGGAAAAAGACACATCACCTGCTGCCACATGGTATATTATTTGGAACTCATTTGCTGACTCAATATTGGCCCTTAGCTGGAGTTAAAAAACCAGAGTGTGAAAGCTCTTCGCTGAGTGCGTGCACAACCATACCAAGCCTATTATCGGATCTGCAAAAGGGGGAAAGAACACATAACCTTACCTGGAGATTTCTCCTAAACTAAGTCGAGAGAGTGAGTTATTCTTCAAATCTGCTAGTAACGGCTCTCGATCAGACAAGAGTTTATGGAGTGTGATTGTGGTAAAAAGGTTTCTCTTCTAACTTCTTGGACTGATAACAATCCTGGAAGGAGGTTTCGTGTGTGCGCTAGAAGCACAGTAAGAAGTTCAGCTTTTTAATTTACTTTGTTTGCTTCTTTTTTTACTAAATAAACTAGAAATTTAAGAATAGCATTTGAATAATAAATTTGTTTGAAAATTAAAATGTATTTAAATTTTAAGCTAGGTTCTGCTAATAAAATTACCATCTTCTATTTGTTGGGGGCATTTGATAATGCATTTTTGTGTTCAAAGCAGTAAAAAGTAAGTTAAGCTTCATCTTGTTTTGATACAGACAAAAGGTTGCAGATTTTTTGAATGGGCGGACCCACCTATGTGCCATCGTTGAACGATGATAATTCCGGGATTGGTTAGAAGACTCAATTCAAAAGAGGAAGAGGTTGTAAAGTTGAACGCTAAAAATAAAAGGCTCCTCATAGTTGTTGTGGGGCTAGTGTTTTTGCTCCTGGTCTTTCTCATGTTAAAGATGTGAGAAGTGAAGATGATGTAACATTTCATGAGTGTTAGGTAGTTTAGGTTATTAATTAGTACCACATTATGAAGGTGCAGTAAGACATTGTTATTGTTAGTTGTAAGCTTTCCCTAAATTGTCAGGAATTTACATCTTTTATTTTGAATAATTGACAATGTTATTTACTTTCAAGTTTATGTTTATGAGTAATATATGTGGTCTGAAGTTTTAAGAAGAGTTGGAGACTCTGTCAAATGCTTTATAATTTATTCTTAAAACATGAATTCAGAAAGCTTTAAACTTTATTCAAAATGCTCCTGCTGCAACCAAGAAGAAATAATTTTTAACTCCAGCTAAGGGTCAACATTGACTCAGCAAATGATCGAGTTCCAAATAATATACCATGTGGCAGGTGATGTGACTTTTTCCGGCGAAATTGGTAAGTTTCGGCAAAGAAGGACCAAAATTGCACCAACTTATTAGTTACGGGATGTAATCTACAAGTTAATAAAGTTACAGGACCAACATCGGGTATAGCTATAAGTTACGGGACTAAATCAACAAATTTCTCATACTTTTTATACAAAAGAAAAGAAAAAAAGCAGAAATGAATAGGCACTACTTCGCAACGTTCATAGCATTCCTATCTTATCTTATCATTCAAATATTTGTTGTCACTGCATGTCAATAAACATTATGCCAAGAAAACTACTACCGCCGGTTTTTATTAAATTTCACACTTTGACTTCACACAAAATAAGGAAAGAAATTTGACTTTACTGTAGAGTACACTGTTGAGACACTGTTTGACACTGTTTGGCACTGTTGAAACATTGTTTGGCATTGTTTGACACTGTTTTGATGTAGATTTCTTTGCCAAAAAAGAAAATAAGGAAGTGTGAAGTTTATTTTAGACCGTCCCAAAAATGAAAGTGTGAAGTTTAATAAAAACCGGAGGGAGTATAAAAGAATTGAATAAAAAATTCCAGTTTTTCTCTTCTTGCCATTGCTTAGTTCTAATTCTTAGCTAATTTTATATTTTCAATTCACTTGTTTCCATCGTTGTGTTCGATCTTTTTTAGAAAATCAGCTTTTCATGTTTGGCTTTTAAAGAGATATGAACAGTGGCGTATCGAGGAATTTCAGTGAGTGGGGGCGAACTCGCACGATAAATTTATTATCTTAGAATTTTCACAAATAGTGAAACAAATTAAAAAAAATTGTAAAATTATCTACAAATAAAAAAATATGTGTTCAATAAAAAAAATTATAATATCATACTTAATAAATTTCACTATGTCAGTAATAAACAAGTCACAATTTTTATTTTATTTCATACTCTCTCCGTCCCAAAATAACTTTCCTATTTTCCTTTTCGGTCCGTCGCAAAATAATTATCATGTTTCCTCTTTTGGCAATAATGTGTAGCTCATATTAATTCACATTTTTCTACTCAAATCTCGGATCAAGCATAACTTAATTTTACCTTTTCAAACACTTTCTTAAAACTTATCCTAAAGCAAACAAGACGTTTATTTCGGGAAGAAGTGAGTATTATGTTAATAAATAATGAATCATATAAGGGAGGGATGTATTTAGAATTAATTTGAGTTGTGGATATATAAGTATATATAGTAAAACAAATGTATAAAATAGTTTATATTAATTGCAAAAATGACATGATTGAACTTTACAAAATATATGTGAAACTAAAATTGTAACTACATTAAAATATTTTAAATCTTACAAATTAGAAAAAAAACTGAAACAATAATGTATAAAAACCACTTAAATTCATTCAGAAGCTTCAAAAGGACCAAAATGGATAGGCAACTGCACGCACGAAGTAGAACAACCGCTGGGCCAAACATTATTTTGTTTACAAACACTATACTTAGTTTATAAGACCTTTATATGATGAAGCAGGAAAAAATATAATTGTAGATTATATATATATATATATATATATATATATATATATATATATATATATATATATATATATAGGGTGGGGGTTGAGTGGGGGCAGCTGCCCCCTGCCCCCACGTTGGATCCGCCCTTGGATATGAAAGAACCAAATATTTGCATCCCCATCTCTTAGCTATTTTATTCTAGCATTTTGTTTGAAGTAAAGGTTGGACACCTATAAAGAACATAATCAGCTCGAGCCTTTTTTAAAGAAAGTGTGGTCATCCTCAGCAAGAGTGTTGTAAACAAACTCAGTTTGTTCTATGTTAGTGATATACAAAACCGAGTCTTTCGGTGTCGAATAGCAAGATTGGCAACAGATGCAATGTAAAAATCAAAATCAGTTAGCTAGATAAAATAATGAAGCATATGAAAAGGGACAATGGAAGAGGAAAAAAGCTAGCCAAAGGAATAGTTTAAAAAATCAGAAAAACAGCCATTGAAACACTGTAATCCTAGCATCTAAAAACTTGCATCCCTTATCTAGATACTGTTTAATTTGGGAGGTTATAAATTCCAAATCGTTAATTCGATAAGCTACAGTGTGGGGGGATAAACACACATTTGAATGTTGAAGGTAGAAGATGAAATGTTGAATTCCCACACCAGAAACGTGTGAAGGAACTAAATGCTATATTAAGATCCGGGCTACTCCTCCTAACAGGTTGACCTTTTAGGATGGAACCCCGGGTCTTAACATGGTATCAGAGCCTAATCGATCCATGGCGTGGGCCCCCTTATGAAATATTATGACGTGATTTAAAAAAAAATGACAATGACGAATTGATGAAAAAATGAATGACGGCACGATCCAGACGAAATGGCTGGTCGTGAGGAGGGGTGTTGAATTCCCACACCAGAAACGTGTGAAGTAACTAAATGCTATATTAAGATCCGGGCTACTCCTCCTAGGATGGAACCCCGGGTCTTAACATGAAAAGTTTCATACACTTAAATATGATATTTTTAAGAAGTGAAAACTGTAAATTAAACATGAAAAGATGGAAAAGTACACCTTTAGAAAATTGTCCAGGGAACAAACTGATCAAACACCCAAAGTAAAAATGGCATGCACATAGATATCATTCCTCACATTTTATTAATGACAAAATGTAGAATGCATCAAATTATTTTGACTCACAGTGAGATCATATATCATTGCACACTTTGACCCGCACAAGAACTAAGGAATGACAATAAATGATGTTTACTTTTTACACGTTTGTCTTTCATCCTAAAAGTAGATGTGATTAGAAAAAAGTAAAAGGGTAAAAATTGTCACTTACTTTTATTTACATACCCAAAATAGAAAGTGGAAAATCATTTTGAGACAAACAAAATAGGAAATTTTGCAAAACAAATTGGGTCGGAGGAGTGAGTGTATATTTTTGGTAATGAATAATGAGAAGCCGGTTCAGAAGAGGTCTCCGAGCATACATGGCAGTAGAAATTGAACTTTATAAATCCAAAAACCTCACTCACAAATCGTAGAGAGTCGAAATACGTGTGAGAGATAATAGGAAGAGCAGGTTTGTAACGAAGAAAAACGTAGTAGGAAAGAGCAGAGTTTTTCTAATTAGTATGTATAGATAGATTAGCATGTGTGAATGATCAAGCTAAGTGCGTCGTTTAAATGGTGCTTTCAGCTTCTTAAGTGTAGAGGACATGGTTTGGGAGAAAGAGCGACTCAAACGGGCGGTGTCGTCATCTCCTACGTTGTCCCACTTAAGCTTAAAACTCCAGTCAGGGTCATCTTCGGGGGGTGGTGGACATTCGACGACCCACTGCGAGCCAGTTATAGCATCGGCCCCGGCTTTTTTCTTCCACAATTCCTTCAGATTCTCCATTGCTGATGATGGAAGCCCAGGCAACGAAAATGGATCAGACCCCATTTCCTCCAACGATATCTCCGTACCCGTAGGCTCAAATTGGACTTGAGCAGTAGTAATCTCTCGTGATTGGGGTTGGGGTTCCGACGGTCCAGCATCAAATTGGTCTTGAGCAGTAGTAATCTCTCGTCTTTCCGCGTACTCCGTCAGACTTCTCGCCACCCACATGTCTCGGAGCATATTCATGCATTCATCAAGATGTTCCTGCAACCCAAGTCATAACCTATAAAGTTGAATATTACAATTACAATCCAAGCGCTATTGACTATATATTGTGCTAATAGTTGTTAACCTACTCCCTCAGTTACTCTATTTCTCAAGTTGCAATATAATCTGAAGTTCAATATTCTCTCCCATATTACTATCTACTCCTTGAGTCTTATTTTAGGATTCTCATTTAAAGGTATTTCTCCTTTAAGAGCCATTATATGAGAAAACTATCTGGTGTACGTGCACCTTTTTGTGTTTGATTTTGGCATATCTTGTTTGTCACATAGATAAAGTTGTCTCTATACACACAATTCTTATTCAAATACATGAGTTGTATCCAGAGAGTTGTGTCTGTCAAGACAGACATGGGGTGGGACAGGGACGGATCCAGGATTTTGGGTCAAGGGGGGCGAAATTTTTCGTTAGTGTAGGGGGTGAAAATTTTTTTCGTTAGTGTAGTGAGACGAAATTTTTCCCCCTAGTGTAGCGGGGCAAAATTTTTCACTACTGTAGAATTATACGGCTATTTTTATTAAAAAAATGACATTAATACATATATATCCCCCAACGACATATAAATCTATTACATTCTAAATTTAGACAATGACAAAGACATCAACCAATACATTTTTAATAACTTCTATATTGTTTAATCTTATGAATCGGTTATTGAATTGTAATTTTTGTCCATCAAGGAGAGTGTTCGTGAGTCATGACTCATGAGAAGTTTTCTTAATATTACAATAGTAGTATGTATGAGATTATTATTTTTAGAATAATATGCACCACATACACACACTATATGGTGCATATTATATTTTAATATTTTTATTAATGCTATAATAATTTAAATTTTATTATCTATGCAATAAATTATTTTTAGAAAGCAAGAAGTAAATGAATTATGTAATTTAATGTCAATAAATATTTATATTTTGGATTCATTTCACGTGATCTAAAAACTGTGTAATTAGTGTGTCTGGTATTTAATATTGTTTGATATATATTTTACAAAATTGAGTACTTGTTATCTAATAAAGATAATTACACATTACAAAACTAGGAATTCTTATATAATAAGTATCCTAAATCTTAAACAATGTAAATTATATTAGATGTTCTTTCTTTTAAATATCCAATTAAGTATTACATTATGTAAGACTATATATTAATTTTGAAAATTAAAAGCTAAGGGGGGCGAATCTAATTAAATTATGAAAATTTTATGAAAATATTATATATATGGTAGAAATTTTTCAAAGTCCAAGGGGGGCGGTTGCCCCCGCGCCCCCCTAAATCCATCCCTGGGGTGGGACACGAAATTCGTTCAGTTAAAATAGCTGATGTTTATTGTAGACTTGTAGTTATGCCCATGTCAGCAACGAAAATGATCCGCGATCAGGTCTAAGACAACAAACATGCTGGTAGGGATTGAATAGTTTAAAAGAAGTCCGACTTTGATAGAAGAGCTGCTGATCCGTGGGAGGGTTGGCAAATTAATCGCAAGCATACCTATTAATAGCATAAATCCAAGACAGAGGGGGGCATGTTAGGCAGGATTGGGCTTTATTTATATTATTACTATTTATTGTAATTAGTTAGTAAATGGGCTGCGGCCATATGATTAGAATAGGGCTGTTCATTGTTGTATATATATTGTTGGAGGTATTGGTCCTACCAAGGCCTCCCTTCCACTTTATTTGCTGAGGCTTGCACCCTATTGTTTTACTCCCACTTTGGTACCTTTTATCTTGGTATATTACCTGATCAATAATATACCTGTTGACTCCTTACCTGGCTTTGGCCTCTTGTACTGTCCACTGCAGTACCTGCTCTTGGCTTGCTATACCCGTGAGTGTCCTTTGGCCATCCCGTGAATGTCCTTGTTGTTGGCCCATAGGCTGGCAGCCTACTATAAGTCAACCCTTTCCCCTTCTTTGTGAGAGCAGCCTGCGAGAAACACTTCCAGAGAGCAGTGCTCTCCTTCTTCTCTTTCCCTTTGTGTGAGAATTGAGAGTAGGACTTAGTGGTGAGACAAAAACAGAGAGTTGTGCTAAAGCTTCCCCTAGTGTGGTGTATGTGAGTAAAGTGTGTAGAAAGACCTGAGCCGGAGACGGAAGAAATTAATACCTTACAGTGGTATCAGAGCCTGGTTCGCCGTCTGCCGCCGTCTGCCGCCGTCTGCCGCCGTCCGCCGCCGCCGCCGTCCTCCGCCGCCATCAATTGGAGTTGCCTGGAGGGTCGCACGAGCTTGCTGGCCTTCCACCTTGGCCTCTGCTGTTGAAATTCAGGCTTGCCAGAAGCTGGAATCCACCACCCCGTCGCCTAAAAGCTAACCACCGCCGGAGTTTGGTTTTCAGCCCCGCCTCGCCGCCCTCGCCGCTTGTTGCAGAGCAGTCGCCGCCGGAGTTCTCTGTTCGTCGCCGGAGCAGAGCATTGGCCAGAGGGCTGGCAAGTCGCCGGTCTTCCTTCGTCGGCCTTCGTCGCAGGTTCCGCGTAAGGAGCGAGGAAGACGAAGAAATTTTCTTCGTTGAATTTGGTTTGCTATTTTTTTTAACCGCTGGAGAAGTCTGCTGGACTCTGGGCTGCTGGATCGTTGCTGGACTGCTTTTGGGCTTTGAACTGTTGGATTGCTGACTGGAGCAACTGGACTGCTGCACGTGAGCTACTGGAGTGCTGACTTGGACTGGAGACCTGGACTGCTGAGGAGCTGGACCACCAGTCAACGCTGCCGGTCAACGCCGGTCAACGGTGGTCAACGCCGGTCAACTCAGTCAACATCTCTAGAAAAATCCCAATTTTTGTAAATTGGGTAGGTAAGGTCGAAACGCTCTCCTAGGGTTTCGCGAAGGTAAGTTTTCGGTAAACTTCCTATTTGTTATATTTTGGTTTTTAATTTAATTTATTCCCCCTCCCCGCGGGCCGCCGGTTGATTTAATCCCGGCCGCCAACCCCCCAGGTACGTTCTAAACTCACTCCTTTGTGGTAGTTTGTTTTAGCTAATTAATTAAATTACTTTGTGTCATTTAATTTAATTGTTATGCGTAGGGGTGGTTTATTGGGTGGTAGGGGTAGAATTAATTAATTTAATTTTTTCTGCCCGGAATTGTTTAATTGCCAAAATGTCCATTTTTTGCTATGTGTTGCATGCTGCCCGGGGTTATTAAAGTGAATACTTTATAACCCGGGTTGGATTTTTTTTCTGTCATTTCTATCTGTTTAGCTTTGTGTTCCTTTGTGGTTGATACCATGGCTGCAAATCAGTATGGTATGCTTCCATTTAATGGAAAAACAGATTTTGATATTTGGAAACAGAAAATTAAGTGTGTTTTAATACAGCAAAAAGTTTTCAGAGCTGTCACTGGTATTTTCCTTGAATCAGAAGATAAGGCTAAGCAAATTGAAATGAACGAAACTGCTTGTTCTACTATTTACTTGAATCTGTCTGATTCTGTGCTTAGGAAAGTAGGTATTCTTGAGTCCGCTAAGGAGTTGTGGGAGAAATTGGATAGTCTCTATACTGATACCTCTTTGCCCGGGAAATTGTTCTTACTAGAGAAATTCTTTAGGTTTAGGCTTGACCTGACTAAGGATATAGATGAGAACCTGGATGTGTTTAATAAACTGATACAGAATATCAAACAGGCAGGTGATAAACACATAGATGATTACACTCCCATAGTATTACTTAATGCCATTCCCGACTCTTATAATGATGTTAAGTCCGCTATTAAGTATGGTAGGGATGAGATTTCGTTAGACATTGTTGTGAATGGGTTAAGGAGTAAGGAATTAGACCTGAAGCATGCTAGGGGTAGTGCTAGTCAGTCCAGGGACTCCGGTGAGGCTATGTTTGTTAGAGGTAGATCTAAGGGTAGGTCTAAGAATTCTAAGCAAAATAGTCAGGGTAAGAACACTAGTCAGCCTGGGAGGAAGAGGAGCAAATCTAGGAAGAGAGTGTGTTACAATTGTGGTAACACTGGCCATTTCATTAAGGATTGCCCCCACCCTAAGAAGACCGAGCATGCTAGTGTAGCTGTTGATAAATGTGACCTTGGTGATATTTTGATGGTTTGTGACCATGTTAATTCTGTGAGAAATTCCCTGTCTGAACATGAATGGCTGATTGACTCTGGTTGTACCTATCACATGTCCCCCTTTAGAGATTTGTTTTCTACATATGAATTATGTGATAGTGGCTACGTTTCCTTAGCTGATAATAAGAGATGCAATGTGCTTGGTGTTGGTGATATATGTCTGAAATTTTCTTGTGGCTCTGTGTTTACCATTAAGAATGTGAGGCATGTCCCTGATTTGTGTCATAACTTGTTATCTGTTGCTGCTTTGGAGAGTAGTGGGCTACAGGGAAAATGGGGGAATGGTTGTATGAAAATCCTGAAAAACTCGCTTGTTTTGTTTAAAGCTGAGAAGGTGAATAACCTTTATGTGTGTCATGCTAAACCTTTTACTGAGTCTGTGAATGTTGTATGTTCTGATAAGACCTCTTTGTGGCATAATAGGCTAGGACATATGAGCAATAAGGGTTTAGATGTCATGCGTAGGGCGGGTTATTTTGGTAAGGACTCTGTGACTTCTGTGCCTTTCTGTGAATCATGTGTGTTAGGCAAGCAGCATAGAGTCAGCTTCCCTCCTTCCTCTTACCCTAATCTGTCTAAATGTTCGTCTGTGCTTGAATATGTCCATGCCGATGTTTGGGGTCCTGCCAGTGTTCCTACCCACGGGGGTAGAAAATATTTCCTTTCTATTATTGATGACTTTTCTAGGAAGGTGTGGGTTTGCCTTTTAGAACACAAGTCTGATGTGTTTGTAAGGTTTAGGGAGTGGAAAACCCTAGTTGAAAACCAAACTGGCAGGAAGGTTAAAACCCTTAGGACCGATAACGGGTTAGAGTTTTGTAATAAGGAGATGGATAAGCTGTGTGTGGATTGTGGGATAAAAAGGCACAAAACTGTGCCTTATACTCCCCAACAGAA